ATATACTCCTTCCGTCTCATTGGACTTTGCCAACTTTCCATTTTTTGTTGTCCCAAAAAACTTTGTCACTATCCTATTAAAGCAACTAAATTGTGGCTCTGCACATTTCTCTCTCCTCTGCACAAATACCAACCACACAGTTTTTACTATTCTTATTTCTCACCTACTTTTCACTTGGCAAAGTCCACCGGGACGGAGGTAGTATGATTTTTTTTTGAGTTTCTTTAGTTCGGTTCGGTTTTGTTCGGTTTTTATCGGTTTCGGTTCGGTTCGGTTGAATACGGTTTGAAAGAAATAGTACCAAACTCAAACCAAATTACATACGGTCCGGTTTCGGTTCGGTTTAGTTCGGTTTGGTATGGTTCGGTTCGGTTAAACCAAACCGTTATGCCCACCCCTAGTTACATCCCCATCTGATCTCCATCATATTCTTCTTCTTCTTCCTCTATTTCAACCAAAAAAAATACGGACTAATACTCCCTCTGTCCCTGATTGTTCTTCCAAATTAAAGTGGCATGGTGATTAAGAAAGTGAGAATTGTGTGGTGGAGAGTTATGCAGAGGAGAGAGAAATGTTGTGAACCATAAATTCTTTGCCAAAAAGGGAAAATGAAGTTCTTTTTGGGACGGGCGAAAAGGGAAAGTTAGAAGTAAATTTAGGAACAGAAGGAGTAATAATTAATAAAAAAAAAACCATACTCCGTATATTCTAGCTTCAATTCCTTCCACTCCGATCCCAGCGTGAGCAACCCCACAAACCACAAAACAGTAACCAAACACCTTTGTTGACTATGAAGCTCGAAATGGATTTAATATAAATCAGTACTTACCGTCAAAGTTTTTTAATGAGAAAGAGGAGAACTACCTGAAGGGATAAGATCGTAAGAAGGTAATGTGAATAGAGAGGAAGGTGGTGATGGACTGATGGGTATGTGATTTGTATCACAGAAAATGGTAAGTTGGTAACCCGGTTTGCTTTAACTATTTATGTGAATTTGTTTACTGGTTCGGATTATTTTCATCAATATCCTTAATAAAGATTATTATTGTAAAATTACTTAAAATATGGATTATTAATGTGAATTTCACCAGAAGTTTTTAATATATACTCCCTCCGTCCCATTTATTTTGTCCCGTTTTACCTTTTCGGGAAGTCCCACTTATATTGTCCCATACCATATTTGGCAAAGTTTGTGTGGCTCTAGATCATTCTTACTTTATTCTTACTTTATCAATTAATATCAACCACACAAACCCACTTTTCTTAATAACCGTGCCACCCTCTTCCGGGACAATATAAATGAGACGGAGGGAGTACTCCCTCCGTCCCGTTAGAAGGTTCCCACTTTCCCTTTCTGGACGTCCCATTAGAAGGTTCTCATTTCCATTTTAGGAAATAATTAACAACCTTAATCGACAAATTAGTCATTAAATAACAAAAATAATACATTTATAACATCACAGTTATCAAAACTAACACATTATAATATATATCTATTAAAATTATTTCTCAAAATATACCCGAAGTACTTTATTTAATTATTACCTAAATAACTGTGTCGTTTTGCCATGAGAACCTTCCAACGGGACGGATGTAGTACAATTTATTGATTTCAGGACTTAATGTGCAATTGTCTAATGTTATAGGATAAAGAGGGACACATGTATAATATAGGGACTGAATTTATAATTTTTCATATATACTCCGTGATTATTTTGATCAAGAAATTCAGCCATGGCTTACGTGATTATTTTGATCAAGAAATTCAGCCATGGCTTATGCAATTCAGCGCATCCCCATCAAATATCTATTTTAGGCTTCTAGCCAAGGTCAGTGCAATTCAGCTTCAAATTTCATCCCTTCCACCACTACGCACTAATAATTGACCAAGCACATAAGATAGTACACGACTAAGATCATCTCTAATGGTTGCTTCTAGGAACTTGCTTGTAATTTTGAAGCTAATAACCTATCATTGGAGCATTACTCTTCCTTTTGTTTGAGAAAGCTAATTAGCCTAAATGAGCTACTAGTTGAGCAAAGAGATTTATTAAATATAGCATTATAAAAGCATCTCTAGCGGTTAGCTAATTGCCCTCATAGCTTGACTAGTCACGAAATTTTTTGTTGCAAAATTGAAATATACTCCAATGGTTAGTTATAACTTTTTTCTCTTCATTTATTATTTATAATGCTATATTTAACATTCTCCTTGCTCAAGCTAGTAGCTCATTTAGGCTAATTAGTTTTTTCAAGTAAAAGGAAGAACAATGCTCCAATGATAAGCTAGTAACTTCAAAATTGCAAGCAAGTCCCTAGAAGTAATCATTGGAGATGTTCTAAATAATAAATGCAGAGGAAAAAGTTATAGCTAATCATTGAAGTATATTTCAATTTTGTTAGAAATGCTTATGTAACCAATCAAGCTAGAAGGACAATTAGCTAACCGTTGGAGATACTCTAAGGCCCTCTAGCTTCTTCATAATCTTTTTCTCTCACTATTGAATGCACGGAAGCAATGGTTTGCGGCGCTCTCTAAGGGTGTGTAGACGTGTAGTGTAATGGAGAAAAATCTAGAAATTCTAGACAAATATGGTTGCACAACGGTTTAAGTTATAAGTACTACTCCCTTCCTCCCTGAATTATTTTTAAACTTTCATTTTTCGTCCGTCCCAAAATTATCTCTTTTTTTCTCTTTTGGCAAAGAATTTGTGGATCACAACCATTCTTGCACATTCTTACACATTTCTCTCTCCTCTGCACAACTCTCCACCACACAAATCTCACTATCTTAATTTGTGTGAAATGTCAAAGGAGGAGATAATATAGGGACGGAGGGAGTACCATATACCATTATACCATTACTCCCATTCGGGTTTAGAATATTTGTTATATACTCCGTATTACACCCATTACTACCATTTTTCCGTATTAATTAAAGGACTTCTCTCTGGCTCCACCGAGTCACGACTTGTATTACTCTTGGGAACTTTCTTAGTAGATAGTAGATACCCTCCTTAGACCCTTTGGAGTGGTGCAAGAGTCTAAATGTTAAAAATGGACTCCGTCGATATGAAAATAGTGTTTTGACTCCTATTTCTCTGCATTCTAGCACCGTCAATTAAATACACTCTGCACATTTTTTTAGATATCAATTTAGTAAAACATTATTTAAATTATTATAACTAACTTCTTCTTTTAAATTTTTTATCTGAATTATTATGAAATAAAAATATACACATTTTGATGTAAAAATAAATAAATTTCATTAATTTTTTTTTAACATTTTTCGGTTAACAAAAATGAACATAGAACAAGTAAAGTTTGATTGCGGAATAGTGAGAAATTTGTGGAGATCTCTGAATTAAAAACTTGTGTTTCTTGTTTTTTTAGATTCAAAAAATGTCAACAGTTATAATTTCAGATTATTTTTTTCATTTTATATATTGTATATTGGTGTCATATGAAAGATTATAAAAATTCATGAATTTTGATATATGTTTTGAAAAAATTGAATAAAAAATAAAAAAGTTAAGAGAGTTTTAAAAAAATTGTGATTTAATGATGTCACTATGACATCATCAAATTGTATAGCTCCTGCGCACCACGGGAGGACAACACTTGATTTTCCTCTGTTCCCTTTTCTTTTGACTCTGTTAGCATGCGTCTTATTTTAAAGACCCTCTATCTTATTTACCCATTTTTAACCCCTTTCTAATATACCACTACACATCATTAGGAGTCCAAAATTTTTAAATTTAACATTTTGGACTCCTAAAACCTTACCACTCCAAATGGTCTTAAAATAGGGTTGACCCCTAGGAAAGGTCAAGGTGTTAGAGTACTTTTCTTAGAGCTGGTTTGCAACAGCTTTAAAAAAGCACTTATCACCTTTTGGCTTTAAAAAGCACTTATTTATCAAACACTACCAATTTTTTACTTTTCTCGGCTTTCGTGTCAAAAGTGTTTTTCCCCTTTTTATATATCAAAAGCACTTATTTTACCAAATACTACCAACTTTTACTTTTCAAAATTAATTTTTTTTCAAATACTATCAACTTTTACAACTAATCATTTTTTCCAAATCACCCCAAAAGTGCTTTTTTTAAATCAGAAGCTGTTGCAAACACTCTCTTAGTAAAGTGAGTGAAGTTAAAAGCCCTTTTGTCGAAATTAATCGTAAACCGCATCAAAATAATATTCTACCCAATAAAGTGATAAACTTCATTTTATTTATTATTTCCTCCTTCCTTTGATGCCCTATATGAAGAGATGGGGCTCATGTTGCCTCAAAATGGAATAAAGTAGAACAAGAAAAGAGAAAAGTAACGCAAAGAAGTTGAGATGAAAAAAATATGAAAATCAGTGGCGGAACCAGAACTTTATTTGAGCAGGTGCTGAAAAGGCGAGAAATATATCATAAAATTCTTATTATAGGCGCTAGTTTACATGCTTATCGTCTATACCTTTAATTGTATGTGTACATAAGCAATTCAAAAACTAAATTAGATTTTTTTTCTAAAAATTGTACGAAATTGTCTGTTACGCGTGTAAAATTGAGGTGCACACCCCTATATGTGTATACGAAGTACGACTGGTATCTGAAACCTCAAAACTAGTAAGTTGATAAATATTATAGAAAATAAAAACATACGGAGTACTATGTATGATTGTTAGAACTTAATGTCTACATCTAAATAGCGAACTCTATCCGGGAAATAAATTCAACGCAGGGCAAAAATTGCCCTTTTATTATCTTCACTAGAAGTGTTTGAAGACTCTTCAATCTATATTAGGAATTTTAAAATGATTAAGTGTTAACCTAACAAATTATACAACAACAAAATCATATAATAATTACCTGAATTTATTTTTAAGAGCTAGTAAATATATACCATGTACTCCGTATATAACAAAAATTGTAAGAGTAGCATATATTCTAATTCAGAAATCATAAATACAAACTTACAACGTTCTTGTACTGCCCGTGCATATAAAATCAAATTCATAAATTCACCGATTACTTACACCTAATACACGAAAAAACATATTCATAAATTGCTTTACACACAATTATAAAATTATTGAATTACATAAAGAATAAACGAGAATATGTCCCGAGTGCGAAGTTTTTGATATCACACGAGTAGCGGTGTGATCAATTGGGTGCAGCAATTCTGTCACACCCAGTGTGATCAACAGACTGTGGACAACCCGGATATGAAGGAGATGATCATCAAGTGCGATAACATGATTCTTGAAGGCGAGGAAGAAGATCTGCTCCTGGACGAGGAGGTCAAGGGTGAGAAAGAGGCTCCGAACAGGAGTCTACGGGCGAAAGAAGACAAAGAGGTGATGATTCGTCCCCCTCCTGAACCGCCGCCATGGAGGAATTGTGCATCTAGGGTTGTGGGAGATCGATGGAGGTTTCTCGTGAAGATAAGAATGCATTTGAATTTCCATGTTTTTGCTATTTTTGTCTTTTTTTATTTTCGATCAAACTATGTTTGTTTCTTTTATTGTTGTTTTGTTCTGCCAGACTCTGACATTAGGTAAGGGTGATGAGGGTTTTGCTCTTGCCACGTTAGGCTCATTAGGACCCTATACAGGATCAGCGAATCATATTGCTCTACTTAGGGTGATTGATTCTCCAGCTGGTTCGAGGGTCGGTAGCTGGAAGTGTTTCCTTTATCGTCCGTGTCCTTTGCTGAATGTTTTATTATGAATATAAGTCTCCCCGTTATAAAAAAAGAATAAGCGAGAACATTGTTAATTTTGGTAACTTTATGCAAAAAGTCTCATTAAGGATGTTTTTACTTGGACTGTAATTTGCTGGTCTGGTCTAGTAAGATCTGGTTTCTTTGTATTTTTATAACTATCCAAGTCTGATGTGGTCTGGTCTGGTCTAGTAAGATCTGGTTTCTTTGTATTTTTATAACTATCCAAGTCTGATGTGGTCTGGTCTGGTCTGAACTGGTCTGGTTTGGACTGGTCTGGTCTGGGACAAATTACAGTCCAAGTAAAAACATCCTAAATAGGGAGGGCAAGAGGACACAAAAAGTAAAGGATATTTCCTTTTGTACACGTTTTTATACTCATCAGTACACGCATATGTCTGTGAGAGTATTTTTTTGTCTGTGAAGCGCAGTCCACAGACATAGGTTGGCTTGTTTTGTCTGTGAAATTTTCCACAGACAATACAAGCCAGCTTTTATCTGTGGACTACGCTTCACAGAAAAAAAATAACTCTCACAGATACATGCGTGTACTGATGGGTATAAAAACGTGTACACCAAGACTTAAAAGAATGAAGATTAACGAGAAACAAAAACACCGTATTTTTCCTAATGAAGTGGGTGAAGTTAAAAGCCCACTCATCGAAATTAATGGTAAAATCATCAAAAGAATCTTCTTCCTAATGATGGGGCTCATGTTGCCTCAAACAATGGAATAAAGTAAAACAAGAAAAAGAGAAAAGTTAATGAAAAGAAGTCGAGATGAACAAATATGAAAATCAACACGTAGAATAGAAAAACCAGCGAGGACATCATTAATTAGTGAGAAAAGAAAACATCTTGTCGACTTTTAATTCCAACAACTTCATTAGGAAGGAAACTCTTCTATAAATATACTACTGTCCCTAAAAGAAGTTCCATTTCACTATTCCTTGGTCAACTTAAATCACTCTTAATCTCTTACTTTTTATATCAAAATTTTATAAAAGTTGAATTATTTTTTGCAGGCTTTGTAGCGGGTTTAATGTAGTTTCTGAATATGTAAATTTTATTTACTAAAAATAATCCGAGTTTTCACAGGGATCATTTAACTTTATCGTCGGTCAACCTCATAAACCGCAATTGGAACAACATTTAGGGACGGAGGGAGTATTTTTCGTAATGAAATGGGTGAAGTTGAAAACCAAATTACGAGTCCGTTTGGTAGCACGAAAATCGGCTGTTTTGGCTGATTCTGCTTGAATTTATGAAGTTCTGGCTGAAGTGGCTGCATTAGCTTAGTCTGCAGATTTGAGAAAAATATATTTTATCAATAAAATAAAGAAAAAATTATATGTAAAATAGCTAAAATGGTCATCTACAGTAACTTCAGCCAATACAGCCAGAAAAGTAACCTCAACCTTACTTTTTCTACTTATCACACAATTCAGCGCGCGAAAACAAAATATACGTGTTTAGTGAAAAAGTTGGTTGATAAGCCGAAAAACAGTGTTGCTAAACGACCTCTACAATTTTGCTACTTGTACCCTCCCTTATACGGTTATACCCACCAATGTGAGGACACTATTTTTTTCTTGTGATTTCCGTTGATAGACAAAATAAGTCTTCTTTCGTCTGTGAAAATGTTTACAAACAAAACAAGTCATGTATTGTATGTGAGTATAAGGATGTGTACATATAGATTTTTTCTTGAAATTATTGATAAAACCATATAAATTTCTTTCCAATGCACTTCATTTTATTTATTATTCTCTTCTTCATTTTATGCCCTATATGAAGAGATAGATGGGTCTCATGTTGCCTCAATCAATGGAATAAAGTAGAACCAGAAAAAAAGGGAACATCAACGCGTAGAATAGAAAAATTAGTGCTGACATCATTAATTGTGCAACTCTATCTGAAGAGTCTCTTTAAATAGGGCAGACAAGAGAGCATGACAAATAGGGGCGGAGCGAGGACGTCAAAGAAAGCTGGGCCGTATCCAAAGAAAGTACCCGCCAACCAATTAAACCAACTCAATTAAAAATCACAAAATTTATATTTATATTCTCGACTTTTATACAACTGAAATTTTGGTTGATAAGGGCGCGCAGGATATTAAATATTTTCACGTAACTTCATTCCTTCCGTCTAAGGCCGATCATATATTTTTTCCCGAGATCTCATTCAATCTCAATCAAAGTAAAACACGAATAATATTCAACATTACAAATATAATATTGTGGTAAGTTTGGTGCTCGTTAGTACCCTCACTTTGTAGACTACTAACGGTAGTAGCCGGTTTAAAAAAGAATGTAATGTTTTTTAGGACGAGAAAGAATACAAAGTTTCTTTAGTTTTCTTTAAATGAGGTTGTTGAGTGCCCATAATCTCTTCTATCAAATCAAAATATGTTATAAAAATCGAATCATTACAAATTATTGAATTGAAATTAAATGAAATAATATTTTATTAAGACAAGAACACATTTGTATTCAACAAATATAAACAAATCACATATCACATATTATCTCTGTCCGGAAAAAGTTCGGCATGTTGAATTTTCTTGATCATTGATGATAAACTTTGGATAATAACTTTAATTAATATATTTGTATACAATTTATAAATTTCATATTTTATGAAAATATTTCGATTAAAGAAAATTTTGATATAATTTTTATATTCTAGATGATTTCGTATTAAAAAATATCATTGGTCTGGTTGTTACAAATTTGAAAAAAATAGATTAAATATGGACTTCATAATTGATAAATTAGGGTCATAACACAAACCTTAATTCATGGAGAAATGGTTAGCGTTGGCGTTTATTTGCTTTAGCAAGTGTCAATTTTATAAATTTTGTTTTGAATTCTTATCTACCTCTTGCTTTTCCTAGCACGCAGGAGGCAGCAAGCTTGCAAAGTACACTGGGCCAATTTTCTTTTACCACCGGACCTTTCTATTTTTCATTATTTTTTATATACTATAATTATCATTAGCCAAATCTACCCTGTGTCAGGGCCCAGTATGGCCCTCCCCTCCCTCCGCCAGTGATGACAAATAAAAAAAAAGAGCTATTAGCCCTAAGTAGGACTAAAAGTAGCTTTAAATGCAACAATAAGACTATAATCCGTTTATTCCGTGAATACGAGTAATATATGTCCATTCTTCCTATTCTACCCTCTCCCTATAATTTCTAATATACTTATTTTATTAATAAAAAATTATAGTTTTATTTATAATAAAGATATTAGATAAAATAAAATATTTATAGATGAATAATGAAAATAGTAAAAATTAAAAAAAAATAAAAAAACAAAAAACTAAAAAAAGTCTTAACAAATAATTTAAAATACCTAAATTAGAAATATTAAAAAAATATGTAGGTCACTCCTACCGCATCCTCCACCTCCCAGCACCACCAGCTCCGATCGCCGGAAACAAATGTCATCTTGTGTAAAAAATGTCACATTCCTCTGAAAAACTAAAAAAAGTCTTAAGAAATAAGATAAAATACCTAAATTAGAAATATTAAAAAAATGACTCTTACTCTTCGAAAAATATCCAGCTTTGTTTTCAAAATAGTCATCTCGATAATATTATTTTTTAAATTTGCATTCTTTTCAGGCGATCGGAAGTGACATTGCTGGAAGGTGGCTGAGGTGGTGGTTGAGGCCTGTTTAGTTTTTATTTATTTTTGAAGTTTGTATTTATTTTTAAGTTTCTGTATGTTTTATTATTATTATTATTCAATAAATCCTATTAAGAATGACAAGGGAGATAGTAGAATAGGAAGAGTTAGTCCTATTTTAGAAAATTTCAACTTTAAACTTCTATTGTTGCATTTTTTCTTAGGAAAATCGCATATATAGTCCATCAGTTATCAACAAAATTAAAATCTCAGACCTGTATTTCTAAGATTGTAAATTTCACCCCTTAATTGTCCATAAAGCTGTAAATGTGGTCCTTTTGAGGGGTAAAATATATAATGTGGGCGAGAGTACATTTCACTACTTAAAGGACCACATTTACACCGATTTGGACAATTGAGGACTGACATTTACAATCTCAGAAATATAGGTCCAAGATTTTAATTTCATGGATAACTGAGTGATCATATAAGCGATTTTCCCTTTTTTTCTTTTATTAGTCCTATTTAGAGAAATTTCCTTAAAAATAAAAGAATGAAAACTAGCGAGAAAAGAAACCATCGTATAATGTAGTCTTGTCGACAGGGCGGATGCATCTTGTAATTGATGGGGGCACATGCCCCCAATGAAGTCAAACTTTTAATATAAATACATATACTTATTATTTAAAAAAGGCTAGTAGTGCCCCCGATAAAAAAAATCATGCCCCCAATCCCTCATTAATTTTTATTAACTCAATTCTAAGAAATGGGTGGACAAATGTATACTGGAGTCGGTTTACTTTAATGATATCAACTCAATTAACTCAATAATAGAGTAAATTTGTATATTAACTAAAATCAGGCTTTGTATTAACTAAGCTGAATTCAGGCCCGCACCTTTATCCATTTTAGTTTATGTTACGTATTTTTGAAATATTTATTATAGTGACATAATGGCATCATTAAAATTCATTGTCATACCCTGTACATATTACGTTTTTTCCTACTACCTTCGTCCCATTTTATGTGTCACACTTTGACCTGAGACGATTATTAATGAAGTAGTTGAAAAAGTTAAAGTTGTGTTTGAGGTTTGAGTATAATAAAGTGAAATGCTGTAGGCCACATTTTTCTTTTTAAAAAAAGAAAGAAGACACTTATTTTGAGATATCCCAAAAAGGAAAGTAGGACAAATAAAATGGGACGGAGAGACAATTTTCTATTTTCCTATCTTAGCTTGCTAATTAAAGTCTTCATTGCAATGGTATATTTTGCTAATTTTGTTAGTTCATTCTACTTTTGTGTAATTAATTTCATCTTTGGGTATGAATAGTTCAATTTTGTAGTTAAAGTTTAAAAAAGTTGTTCACTATAGTATGTACTCCGTATTGTACTATAGTTCACGAGTATAACTTTATAAATTTTACATATTTGGACAGATTAAACAATGATATAAAGATACTCCTTATTATAAAGGAAAATCACGACCACCACACAATCAAAGCCACATTGTCGGAGAAATATTATACGGAGTATTACAGTACTAATTTTACATATTGTACTAATGTTAATGTTTCAAATAGCTCTCCGTTTATACTTGATAAAGTTTGTGATGGATGATTTTTCAATGAAATATCTAAGTGGACAGTTATAATGAAATTTGATATTTTTTTTTATTAATATTGGATTATATAATTTTTGAAGTATATTTATACTACCTCCGTTAAGAAAGAAGTTCCCACTTTCTTTTATGAATGTCTAAAAAAGTTCTCATTTTTATAAAAAGAAATCATTTTTAAGAAAAAAGTCACAACTACATTTATTTGTACCTACTTTTTGCTTGGTTTAACATAAATTTGGAGAGACAAAACAAAATTTTATCTTACATAAACATGTGTGTATGTTAAACCGGGAACTTCATTTTGATTGGCATGGAATTTATTATCTGAATATTTTTTTCTTTTTCTTAAATGGTCACTACAACAAAATAGGCCTTTTGTAACACCCGTAAAATGTTGCATTACATAGTTAAAATGTTACAAAAGGTTTAAGTAACACTTTTATGAGTGTTACTTCAGGTCTTGTTGCATAAAGTCATATGCAACACTTTTCACTATATTATGCAACATTTAATAAAAGTGTTACATATTTTACTCTAATGCAACACTTTCACACGAGAGATTAACCACCATCTTACGCAACAGTTTTTTGAATAAAATGCAACACTAATACTATGACTTCTTGCAACATAAATTTAGATTATGTAACATGTGTATCACTATTTTATGCAACAAGTTTCTCGAAATTGCAACACTTTTGTTAAGTTATAGGTAACACTTTTTCTAAGAAAATGAAATATATATATATATATACACATACACGTATATAGTTATAGACTTATAGGCATCAATACATATCAATGAAAATGTTAAAAGCATCACAATATTATATTATCCAATCAAGCAATATTCATTACATATCTTATGTGTCAAAGAGAAACTCAAATGGATAACAAGATAATCAACGTTGCACAATTTGAAATAAATAGTATTGTAATATATCAAAATTGATAATAACAGCAACCGATTAATCCTTTAAAAAACTAGCTAATTAAATATCTCTGACTCTATACTCCAAGCGAGTTGACATCAAAATTTGGAATCATGGCAGACAGTTTTGCTAGAATCAAATCCATCTTCTGTTTCTCAACTTCACGCTCCTTCCGCATTTGTTCTATCTCGGCATCCTTTTTCTCATTTTTTTCTTCAATCTCCTTTCTCAAAGTGCTCATGACTGTCTCCATATCATTAGAAGTCATGAATAACGACTGTACGGTCTCTTTTGTATTAACAAGGTCTTTCTTGGTGACACCTCTTCCACACATTATTGGACCACCACTTTTCTCCTTTGACATAATTGCAGCATACCCATCAATTGCAGCTTCACCTTCTTCATTATTTTCTGCCTCATAATTCTTCATTTCAATCTGTACATGACATATGATGATAATCACTAAACTAATCCAGTTTTTTCTGCCTCATAATTTTGCATCTAAGATCAAATGACATTGACGATAAATTATACCACCAAAGCATCATCATAAATTTTTCCATAGTTTTTCACTCAAATTGTTGTTCTTGAAAAAAAAAAAAAAAAAACTGATCTAACGTACAACCAACAAATGCCAAACTGCTCCATAAATTTACGCTCAAATGCACCATGTTGCAAAAAACATTCTGTTGAGGTTTATTCCTTCAACCCGTGGACCCAACACGTAAGCCCAAAGGTTTCGAATGGAGTGGATGTATGGTTATCTAGCCCAACAACTACTAGATGAATCAGGAAACAAGAGTAATAGCAGGCAATGTAAATAGGTATTATTAACTTCGTAATAACTCCCCTAAGTACAATCTACTTGCTAACAAAGGCACGTCGGCCGTTCGTCTTACAAGGCAGTTAGAAATGCTGCGAGTAAGAGTGCTGAAGCTAGTATGCTAAGAATAGAAAGTTGCCAACCCTTTACAATGGAATAAATGCTTCTATTTATACCCGCCAATGGGCAGGTGGCTGTAGTGACGTGGCAGCCTGTGGGCCGCTGGTGTCCCAACTACCAAATCTTTAGCATTAAATGCACTTCCCGCCAGAATCTAGGTTTCCCGCCAGATCAGTGGGGACGTTCGTCCACCGGGAAGTGAGTTGGATTGCTCCAAAGGACCTATGAGGGATATCGGCTGTTCGTCTCCTGGCCTTGGTGGATACTCACCATGTGGACTGGGTTTTCTCCGATGACTACAGGCTTGCTCTGGGGACGTTCGTCGTCATTCCTGGTGGCCCGTGGTTCTGCTCCTTGTCCCTGCATAAACGTCCGTCGGGATGAGCTGCTGGGCCTGAGTCCTCCAACACTAGACGTTCGTCCATCCCCGTGGAATATGGGCCTGTGGGCTGGCCTAGTGTTCTAGCTGGACGTTCGTCTAGCGAAATGGGTTAGTGGGCCGGACCTCGGCTTGGGCCCTTAACCCAACACAAGTCCCCCACTTCTGATGTTCTGAGCATGCACAGGACATAAGGAAGTATGAACCTCTCCGAAGTAGACGTCCGTGTCGTGGTACTTGTTTTTATTGCACCTGGTGGAAGCATACGTTCGTGGTCATGGTGCTTGACAGCTGTTGACGGTTCAGGAAACGAGGTGACGGCTGATGTTGCGGCGGCGCATTTTCCCGAGGAAGCGTCATCATTACGTTCCCATCCCACGCTCAGCGCGTGGGCCGGAATACGCTCCTTGCCACGTGTCATCCCCTCGTTGGTTTCTCCATCGGTGTTTCTCCTATAAATGCCGGGTTTTCCCTCTAACTTAGGGTTCCCAATTTCTGCTCTCTTACCCTCCATTTTCCGCAGCTCTTCAAGTTTTCCGAATTCGGCCAACCATACCTTTGTAAGGTAATTTCCCCCCTCTGCTTCTTTCCTTTACTCTGATTTCTAGCCGAAATGACTTCGATGGAGATTTCCTCAAGTTCTGATTCCAGTTCTTCGGGTTCCTCCTCGGGCTCCTCTTCTGACAATGCGAATGCACGCTCCCTGGGAAAAACTAGCGTCTCCGGAACCTCGGGTTCGGCCACGACCGTGGGGACCATCCGGGCTGATGGCGAGCCGGATGACGTGTCCCAAGATAGCGGGAGCGACGCCGGGGGCGGGGGCGCTGACGGGGCAGTAGATGTTATTGACGCAGTCCCCCTGAATGAGCGTCCTGCTGACTATGATTCCGGAGAGGAAGCCGAATCTGGTTCTGATGTGGAGGTGTATGATCTGGGCATCCCCACGGATAGGGAGCGCCACATCTGCCCGATCAGGAGTGCACTTGACCATGACCAAGTCCTCTCCCGCGTGGCCCTCAATAAAATCCGTACCTTCCTCCCCCCGCCGTTCGTCTGGAGTGTGAGAGGTGCTGAGCATGTGATGAGGAGGCGTCCGGGGATGATCATGCTTCACCTGGACTCCGTTGAAGCCGGGCTGCGGTTTCCACTGCACGCGTTCTATGTGGAGTTCTTCCACTGCTTCCAGGTGGCCCCGGCGCAATTCATGCCAAATTCTTACAGATTCATATCGGCATTCTTGGTGCGCTGCAAACTTGCGGGGGTCGATGCCACCCTGGAGCTCTTCCATTATTTCTACCGCGTCACTCCTCAGAACGCCGACGGGTATCTGAGTGTGGCCGCACGTCCTGGGAGGCGGCTGTTCAAGAACTACCCTTCGTCCATCCACGACTGGAAGAACCGTTTTTTCTTCCTTCGATACGACGGGCCTCCTCTCCCTCTCCGGTGGAATGGGTACCCTCCAAAGATTGAGTCACCGGAGCCGTCCGACGATCTGCTCCTGGATGCGGAGAAGGTGTTGGAGGGTGGCGTCCGTCCTATAGCCGGATTTCTGACCTTCGAGGCACTCTCTGGGGCAGGCATAGGTACCGTCCGTGTCCCTGGGCTTTTTCTACCCTTCGACGCTCGTCTCGGGGCACCGGGCGGTCCTGTCCTTCGAGGTGAGTGTCTTATTCTATCTCCGCTCGTCTTCTAATCCTTTGTTATTTTTTGCAGGTCCTCCGCCAGACAGAGATCAAATGAACCACGCCGAGTGCCTGAAGACCAGGAAGGCCAAAGCGGCCGCTGCTAAAGCTGCGATGGAGAAGGCCAAGAATGCCCCCGCCTCGGCGTCCAACTCCTCGGTTTCTGACGCTGCCCGGCGAACCGCCGAGGGTGAGCAGCATCTGATTGCCACTATGCTGGCTCAGGGTTCCGGGGCCCCTGCTCTTGAAGCCGCCCCTCCACCGCCGGTCGTCCCGTTGAAGGCGGCTCCTCAAAAGGGGACGGAGAAGGTCCCCGAAAAGAAACAAAAGAGGGGCCGCGAGGCTGTCTCCGCCGGGCCCCTGCTTGAAGACGCCGGCTCCTTGCCGTTGAGCCGCCCGGCGGAAGAGCTTTGGAGGGAAATGGCCCTCAAGGCTGGCCTAGAGCTGCCCAGCCGTTCGTCTTCGGAGGCGACAAGTGCTGCCCTGGCAGCCGCTCTTCAGGTAATCCCCTCTTGCTAGATCTGAGTATATATATTTTTTCCTTGACGTTCATCCCCTGATCCTTATTTTTCCTTCTGTCATCCAGTCTGGGCTTCTAGTCCTTCAGGCTGAAGCTGCCAGGGAGGCCGATCTGAAGGAGGCCAAAGCTAAAGCCGATGCGGCCATCGCTGCGGCTCGAGAGGCCGCTCGCCGAGCTGAAGCAGAGGCTACGGCTAAGGGGAAGGAGATCGCCGCCCTGCGGGCAGAATCCCGCCAGCAGCTAGTCAGCCTTGAGAAAGCTGGCTTCAAGCTTGTCCCGGTGCACCCTGTCGCGAAGGATGCGAGTCCGGAGTGGCTGGTTGATACCTCCGGCTACCGGAACACTGGGGAGTTCATGGACTCTGCCAAAGATTATTGTGCCGGAGTCTTCGCCGACTTGTTTGCCGCGGCTCTGGAGAAGATACCGCCCCGCCAGCGTCTGGCCCGCGGCGTCCGGCTGCTTGAGGGTTCTCCTCTGTCCCGCAAGTTCCTGTACGAGGTCGGTGACAGCACCTTCTCAGCCGGGTATAACGAAGGGGTTAAGGCCACCCTCCCCATCTTTTCGAGGCTGCAAGGGGCCGACTTCGAGCTGGCAGCGAATACAGACGACGATCTGCTGCTCCAGGCTCTAGGGAAACTGGCGAGGGACCAGCGGCGGGAGGAAGCCAAGGCTAGAGGGGAAATTCCGGAACCCCCGTCCCCCGAGCCCGAGGAAGAGGAGGAGGAGCTGAACCAGGGTGGCAGCCGACCGGAATCACCTTTCTTTGTATAATGTAATTTGTACTTTTCCATTCTAACTTTTGTAATGTCCGGCCGTCAGAGCCGAAGAATACAGACGCCCTTTTGCCCATAGTTGTTCCATGTTCATGATTTCTACTTGTTATTTTCCTTCCCTTTGTCCTCCGTTGTATGGAACTCCCTTCGGCGGTCAGAGTTCGAGAGGACGTTCGTATCCGTCCTCTACTTGCTTCCAGGCAAAAGCGTCCCGAAGTCAATCCTCCGTACGTATTCAACGCGTTCCGTCAATGGAGCGACGTTCGTCGGCGGTTTATGGTGCATGCTCGAAGTGTAAGCATAGGAACGTATTCCTCAGCACCAGCACTTGATAACGATGTCCGCCCGTTGTCGCGTGATATGAACATTCAAACCACGCGCGGGACGTTCGTCTGTTCTGCGTGCTCATCTGACACGAAGTGTGGAAAGGCGACGTTCATCCTTTGTGCACAATCAATGGACGTGACTTTCACTTCATCCTTTTGTGCCCATCGTTTGTAGTATAAGGAATCCCTTCGGCACCTCGACACATCCTCACCGCCTACGCGGTCTCTGGTCAGTGTGAAGACGTTCGTCGGTAATTGCCTTGCCAGCACACGATTCACGTATGGACTTATGGGCGTACTTCCTTGAAACAGCGCTTGGTGACGACGTCCGTCCATGTTTGCGTGACATGAGAAACCAGTGTACTGGAAGAGGGACGTCGCCAGCTGATGTGTGTGCCCTCGATCACCGCCGACGCTAGGGTCAGCTGGGGGGCTAAGGAAGCAAGGGAAATCAACTGTCTACAGATTCCTCCTCAAGGGACGTTCGTGGCACGGACCCGGATGTCTTTGTGTGGGTTATGCGGCGACAAAATCGAGACGCCTTAAATACCGTGGTAGGTACCGGTATCCAGGCGCCACGTGTCCTGCTTCGGTTGGGGCAATCCCGCGGTGTTGCCTATAAATACTCAGTACCCAAGTGATCCACCCATATTTCCCCTTACGCTGCACAATTGCCTTCTCTCTCTAGACTTCTCTTTTGATCGTATCGGAAACCTCGAATTCCAAGGTACCGTTCGTTGTCATGTCTTCCGAAAGTCGTTTAAATGATGGATGTTCTTCCGGTGATGACTTGGAGTATTATGAGCGGGGAATGCCACCCCGGCCTCCCCGTTACAGCCTCAACTTCTCATGCGTCCGGCGTCAAGTTCAACGCCTGACGAACGCTGACAAGCGATTGATCAGTCAATGGTTCTATCCACCAAGGACCTACGACGATCGGCGTCTTCGGAATCCCATGCGCCATCTGCCCGGCTATGTGGTGGTCCACCTAGATTCGGTGATAGCCGGGCTGAACTTCCCTTTGCACAGCTTCCACTTGGAACTCTTCAGGGCCCTCGAGATTGTGCCTGCGCAGCTCGTCCCTGCCGCTTATCGGATAATCGCTGGCTTCATCATTAGATGCCACAGCGTCGGTGTGACCCCCACCGTGGACCTGCTGCATCACTTCTTCCGTCTGTCCACCTTCGGACGTACGGGGTATTTGGCCCTGATCGCCCGTCCGTCCATGGTTCTGTTCTCGAACAACGCTGGGAACCCAGACGGTTGGGAAGAGCGCTTCTTCCTGGCCGGAGTAGGCTCACCGATGCCATTCTCTGATCGGTGGAACGCCTACCCTGTGAAGACGGTCCCGCCGCCCATGACGGACGAGGAGCTTGGATATGCCAAGCGCATAGCCGGACTTGGCATCCAGAACCTCCGGTTGCTGGTGGCCGAGCCCTTTAGAGCTCGGGCTGGATTAGGTGCGTCCGTTTGTACTTGTATTGTTTTAACCTCTCTTCGCTGTTATGGTTCTGAACGTCTTGGTTCCTTTTGCGCAGGAGTTTTTCCCTCCACGTCCATCATGCGTCGAGACAATGCCGCCCCGTCTGTCGCCGGTCGTGGGCACAAGGGGCATGACGAGCCCGGGAAGCCGCTCGTCCCCAAGGTTGAAACTCGGGTGACCAGGGCCCGGCCTGAGGATGATTTGGGAGCCGGTGCCTCCAAAAGACCGCGCGTCGACGGTACTGCTTCCAAGGCTATCATAGTGGCCGATGACTCCGATGGGGAGCCCGGAAGTCCCCTTAAGCGGAAGCCCGCCTCTCGGAACAAGTCCCGTCCTTCTCCCCCACGAAATTCTGACGTCCGTCGTCTCCGGGATGGTGATACCCAGACTGCCAAGGATTCTGACGATGCTCGTCCTCCTTCGCCCCCGGAGACCAATGGGTCCTCCCTTGGTTTGATCGAGTTTTCTGGGGTCGGCCCCCGCAAAGAGTCTATGATGCTCTTTGGCCAGACGGCGTCCTCCATTTGGTGTGGGCTGAATCTCAAGGTCCCGCAGGATTTCGCTGCTCAGGAGGCCCCTGAGGATCTTTTGGAATGCGGCCAGAGCACCTTGGACAAGGCCGGACTTTACTTTCACAGGGCTCGGATGGCCTTCGAACATCAGGGTAGGGAGACGGCCAGAGTGCGGGCTGAATGTGATGCCCTTCTGAGGAATGCGAAAGGCAGGGCCGGCACTCTTCAAGAGAAGGCCGATGCCCATGACAAGCTCATTCAGGAGAATGCCTCTCAGAAGGAGCTCCTCAAGAAGCAGGAGGCCGAGCTCGTGGATCTCCGTAGCCGGATGTGGGCCGTAGAGCAGGCCAAGGTGGAGCTTCGCCAGACGGGCGTGGACAATCATGTCCCCATTTATGAGGCCGATGTTGCCAAGATCAAGGAATCTGGTTCCATTGCCTTTCAGAAATCCAAGGCCTATACTGGCGCCATTCACACCATGGCCATGAAGTTCCTCCCGCGGCTCGTCGGCGAGTTCCTGGCCACCTGCCCGGATGCCTATCAGGACGGGGTGAGATTGCTCCAGGCCACACCCACCGGACGTCGTTTCCTTGACGATCTCGCCGATGACACCTACCGCAAAGGTATGGTTGGGCTAGTAGCGGAGAATCTCCCGACGTTTGAGCGTCACTTTGGGGCTCCCTTTGATCCGGAGGCGGCTGGTTTCGACGTCTTGATGGCAGACGCTCATGCAGGGGCCCTTGAGCTGCTGAAGGAGCAGGAGGAAGCCGCAGCTAGTGATAAATCCAAGCAGGCCCCTTCCCAAGCTCCAGCTCCGGACGCCGATCTGCCGTGATTCTCTGCTCATCATCATGTACTTGTACAATTTTTCATTATTTGTATTGTACTCTGATACATTGTAATTTTCCGGCCAATAGTGCCGAGGAATAAAAATCATTCTTTGCTCCATGCTCGTCTGGCATTTTTTTTTTTTTTTTTTTTTTTTTTTTTTTTTTTTTTTTGGAGTCTTTTAGTCTTCGTTCGTCCTTGGTCCTTGGCCCTACCGATGTTCCTACTTCGAGGAGACGTTCGGTATCCGCAGACATCGCAAGTACGAACAGGTTTATCTACATCGAGATTCCCCCCTTCTTCGTTCGTCCGTGGCCCTTTTAGTCTTACCGGCGTCTCTTGCTTCGAAGAAGACGTTCGGTACCCAAGGGACTCGCAGGGACGAACAGGTTTACCCTCGCGGGTTCCCGTCTTCGTTATCCCACGTCCATCGATCCATGGTCGTTTGTGGGATAAACAGGTTTATCTTGGCAGGCTCCCTTGGTTCGTCTAGCCCCCTCCACGTCTCTACTAACCTCTACATCGAGAGGCGTTCGCCTTCGGTGGTGGGGGAAGATCTGGCACACCCGGGCAAGATTCCCTTCCGTGTAGAAGCTTCTCTCCTCTTCTCCCCATTTTTTTTTTTTTTTTTTTTTTTTTTTTTTTTTTTTTTTTTTTTTTTTTTTTTTTAGGGAGGTAATCTTCGTTCGTCCTTGGTCCTTGGTCCTACCGGCGTTCCTACTTCGAGGAGACGTTCGGTATCCGCAGACATCACAAGGAGGAACAGGTATATCTGCATCGAGATTCCCTGGTGCTTCGTTCGTCCTTGGTCCTTGGTCCTACCGGCGTCCCTGCTTCGAGGAGACGTTCGGTATCCGCAGACATCACAAGGAGGAACAGGTGTATCTGCATCGAGATTCCCTGGTGCTTCGTTCGTCCTTGGTCCTTGGTCCTACCGGCGTCCCTGCTTCGAGGAGACGTTCGGTATCCGCAGACATCACAAGGAGGAACAGGTGTATCTGCATCGAGATTCCCTTCGTTAGCGGTCGTTGGCAAGAACAGAAGTGATGTAAAAACAGGGGGCCTTTATTATTGACGACGTCCGGTCATTTTACATGGGAGTGGAAATATAACAAGGATATCAGCCTCTAATTATTGATAAAACTTCTTCAGGTGCTCTACGTTCCACATCCCGGCATGGTTCCCATCCAGGGTATGGAGGAGGAACGTCCCCTGGTTGTATCTCCTGATGACCCGGTAGGGTCCTTCCCAGTTCTTTGCCATTTTGCCGCCTTCGAGCGGCTTGCTCTTTTCTCTTTTCCTGAGTACGAGGTCCCCGGCCTCTATTTCCCGGAATTTCACGGCCTTGTTGAAGTATCTCTGGGTGGCCCTGTGATATTCTTCCATACGACGAGCCGCCAGGTCCCTCCGTTCCTCAATGAAATGGAGCTCCGCTCGCAGGTTGGTCTCGTTGTCCTCCGGCTGGAAGTGCTTGGTGCGGTGTGTAGGTACCAATACTTCCGTCGGTACCTTAGCTTGGAAACCATAAGCTAAGGCGAAAGGGGTTTCGCCAGTTGCCGTTCTGGGCGTTGTTCTATACGTCCACAAGACATAATTCAGCTGTTCCGGCCAGGTGGAGGCGTAGTCCTCTAACTTCTTCTTGATTCCATCCATGATGGTCCGGTTCATGTTCTCCACCTGGCCGTTGGCCTGCGGGTAGGCCACCGAGGCCTTAGAGTGCCTGATGCCCCACTTTGCCAAGTATGCCTCAAAGCCTCTGCCGATGAACTGCCGGCCGTTGTCAGTGATGATCTGCTCTGGGATTCCGAAGCGGCAGATGATGTTCTGCCAGACGAACTTCTGGCACTGGAATTCAGTAATGGAGGCCAACGGCTCGGCCTCGACCCACTTCGTGAAATAATCAACCGCCACGATGACGAACTTCCTTCCACCAGCAGCCGTTGGCAGAGGGCCCAGCAGGTCTATGCCCCACCTAGCAAAAGGTAGTGCGATGGTCATCGGGGTGTAGAAACTTGCTGGACGGCCAGGGACAGGTGCATACTGCTGGCATACTGCGCATTTCCGGGTGTGATTGAAGCAATCTTGCTGTATGGTCGGCCAGTAATAGCCTTGCAGGATGATTTTCCTGGCCAAGGTCCGGGGGCCCTGGTGGCTGGAGCAGATCCCTTCATGTATTTCCTCGATCACCGCCGCTGCCAGGCTCGGCGGGAGGCATCGGAGGTAGGGTCCGCCGAACGTCTTCTTGTAGAGCTGCCCGTCAATAAGTTCAAAGTTAGGGGCACGCCTCTTTACCCATGCGGCTCTTCCTGTACTGCCATCATCCTCGGGCTCAGGGAGTGTTCCATCTCTGAGGTAATCTGCTATCTCCTTCGCCCAGTTAGGTTCGGCCATGGAGATAACCTCCACCTGGATGACGTCCGTTGCCGGTACTGGGAACACCTCCTGCCTAACGAAGCCTCTAATGTGTCGGGGGATGCCTGAGGCCGGATCATCGGTTGGGGGGTTGCTTAGTTTCGACAGTATGTCCGCCTCTGCATTCTCCACCCGCGATACCTGCTCAAGCACCACCTGCTCAAATTGTGCGGTCTGTTCCTCCGCCAGCTCTTTGTAGACCTTCATTCTCTCTTCCCTGGTTTCTGCCGTGCCGTTCATCTGGGTTACCACCAGCTGGCTGTCCATTCTCACCTTCAGACGGGCTGCTCCGAGGGCTTTCGCGCATTTCAGACCTGCGATAAGCGCCTCGTATTCAGCCTCGTTGTTGGTGACCTTGAACTCGAATTTCATAGAGTAGTAGGCCTTGAAACCTTCGGGGGAAGTGATCACCGCTCCCCCGCCACAGCCCCGCGCACTTGAGGCCCCATCGGTGTACATCTCCCACCAAGTGTCGAAGTCGTTGCTGTCATGGGTTTCGTCCTCGGTGCGCGCGGTGCATTCTGCAATGAAGTCCGCCAGTGCCTGTCCCTTGATCGTCGGCCTTGGTTTGAACTCCACGTCATACTGGCCGATCATCAGGGACCACTTGGTTATCCTCCCGCTCGCCATTGGATTCCTGAGGATGGTGGCGAGGGGTTGCGTTGTGTAGACGGTCACCGGGTGTGCCTGAAAATACGGCGCCAGGCGCTTGATGGACGCAATCAAGGCAAGGATCGTCTTTTCCATCAGTGTGTATCTCGTCTCGGGGCCGTTCAGCGCCTTACTCACGAAGTATATTGGCCGCTGGACGGCTTCAGACTCCTTTAGCAGCACAGCGCTCACAGCTAGGTCGGCTACCGCCAGATACATGTACAATCTCTCCCCGGGATCCGCTTTGGTGAGGACGAGCGGAGAAGAGAGATATACCTTGAAATCTTCGAAGGCAGCCTGGCATTCCGGGGTCCACTCAAAGGGACTGGCTTTTTTCATGATCTGAAAAAAGGGGATCGCCTTATCAGCCAGCTTGGATAAGAATCTGCTCAGGGCCGCTAGGCGCCCGGTGAGCCGCTGCACGTCTTTTAGGTTCTTCGGGGCCTCCATGTCCATAATCGCCTTCACCTTCTCCGGGTTAGGCTCGATCCCCCGCTCGCTCATCATGTAGCCGAGGAACTTGCCGCCCCGGACGGCGAAGGCACACTTCTTCGGATTGAGCCTCATGCTGGCCCTCTCCATGATGCCGAAGACCCTCTCCATGTCCTGGACATGGTCCTCCTTTCTCTTGCTCTTGATCAGGATGTCATCCACGTAAGCTTCCATTGTCTTCCCAAGTACGTCTTTGAACAACATCCCAATCATCCTCTGAAAAGTAGCCATGGCGTTCCTCAGGCCGAACGGCATGACGATGTAGCAATACACGCCGTCCGCCGTAACGAATGCCGTTTTTTCGGCATCATCGGGGTGCATGAACACCTGATGGTAGCCCCTGAATGCGTCCATGAAGCTGAGCAGCTCGCAGCCTGCCGTCTCATCCACCAGCAAGTCGATCCTCGGAACAGGGTAAGGATCCATCGGACAAGCCTTGTTGAGGTCCGAGTAATCGACGCACATCCGCCAAGTGTCGCCCTTTGGGGCTAGTACCACGTTGGCCAACCACTCCACGTGGATGACCGGCCGGATGTGTTTGATGCTGAGGAGAGTTGCCGTCTCCTTCCTGATGAAGTCGCGTCGGTCGGCCCGCCATGTATCTTTTCTTTTGTTGTACGGGCTTGGCGTCCGACCGCACGGCGAGTCTATGGCATATGAGGTTGGGGTCGATGCCCGGCATGTCCTCCGGCCCTCTGGCGAATAAGATCCTGAACCTCCGGAGGACGGCTATGACCCCCGCTCTGATTTCTGGCTCTAGATCTGCGCCGATGGACACCCTTCTGTCCATCGGGTCGTCGAGCTCGATTTCTTCCAGCAGAGTTGCTGGTTCCAGATGGGCGTCCAAGTCGGCCTGTTTGGCCTTCTCGGAGATGCTGTTGACCCGAGCCTCCCGCTCGTTGAGCCTCTCCATGGCCTTCGTGTAGCAGGCCCTGGCCATATGCGGGTCCGTACGTGCTATCCCCACCCCAGTGTCGGTGGGGAATTTAATGCATGAATGCCGTACGGAGCATATGGCCCCCAAGTCTTCCAGGCCGGGTCGGCCCAAAATGGCGTTGTGGGCGCACTTCAGGCGGACCACGACGAACGTCATCCCGACCCGGACGGTGTGAGGGCCGTCGCCGATCTCTACTGGCAAGCTGATGGTGCCCTCAGCGTCAATGCAATCCCCGGTGAAGCCGGACAGCGGGGTGCGCAGGGGGTGCAGCATATCCTTCCTAAGCTTCATTCCCTCGAAAGCCTCCCAGTAGAGGACGTTCACACTGCTCCCGGTATCAACAAGGACGCGGCGGACAATGGCATCGTTCACGTCCATGCTGATCACCAGCTCATCTCTGTGCGGCGCTGGTGACATTGGCAGATCGGCGGGACCGAAGGTGATCGCCTCGATTTTGCTGCGCTTGGTGGGGGGTGCTGACACGGAACCCACGTAGAGTGATCTCTCGAATTTTTTCCGTTCGGCGGGTGTATCCCCTGTCTCAGCGCCTCCGAAGATCACCTTGATTTCCAACTTCTTCTTCTTGCCCTTCGGGCCGAGGGATCCCTCCGGACGTTTATCTGCACTTCGATAATCCACGTCCTGAGGTTCTGCCTCGCGCCGATCGTCGCGGCGCCATGTCTTGTGCCTTTGGTTTGGCTTCTGCTGGCTGTTTTTGTTCAGCAGCTGGGTGAACTCGCCCAAGTACCCCTGGCGGATCAGCTCGTCGATTGCCTTCTTCAATTGGCTGCAGTTGTCCGTCAGGTGGCCGGCCCTCTGATGGTATTCGCAGTAGGCCGACTTGTCAAGCCCCATATGCTTCTGCATATCTTGGGGTTCCATCAGGAGGCCCTTGTCCTTGATGGCCTCGAAGATCTGGCTCACTGGATAAGCCAATGGGACATAGTGGTCGTCCGGCCGCGCCTGAATGTCCCTGGACGGAGTCTTCCAGGGGACCATTGCCCCGTCTGTCTTCTTCTTTTTGTTTGGGGGGGAGGGCCCGGGCCCCGGTCTGGGTCCGAGCCTGTCCGCCATCTTCCTTGGCTGGGCCGCGGGAACTCCGTCCCGCTGCCTGATCTCCTCCTCAATGGAGGCATATTTCTGGGCCCGAGCCAGAACTTCGGTGTAGCTGGGGCCGGGGTTTCTCCTTAAGTCCCGGTATAGATCCCCTGTGGCCAGTGCACTGGTGAACATGTTTGTGGCCAGACGTTCGTCCAGGTCATCGACCTGCAGGACCTCGTCCCTCCACCTTACCAGGAACCTAGCCAGCGGTTCGTCCCGCCCTTGTTTGATGTGGGCGAGAGCCGTGACGTCCTTCCTGGGGGTGGTACTGGCGGCAAACTGAGCCATGAACTGCCGGGAGAGCTGTTCGTATGAGTCGATGGTGCCCGGCCTCAACTGGCCGAACCATTCTTGCGCTGGCCCCCTGAGGGTGCTGAAGAACAATCTGCAGATGGCCTCGTCTGATGCTCCCAGCATGGACAGGTTCCCTTGGTAGCTTATCAAATGGGCTTTGGGATCGCCAGCTCCATTGTACACCAAGTTGCCCGGGGGCCTGCAGTCCCGAGGAATCTCGACGTTCATCACCCGCGGAGTGAAGGGTGATGTGAGAGAGAAAGAGGGCGTGGCCGGGCCGACGTCCGTCCGTCTATTCATCTCGGCTATTTGTCGTTCCATCGCTTCCATCCTTGCCTCCTGTGCGGCCCTTCCGGGGGACACAGGGGGGACGGTTTCGAGGATGGCGTTCTGCTGAGCGGCCACAGCTTCGTGCGGCCGCCTAAAGATCTGCGCACCTCGCCGTTGGAAACGTCGTCCGACGGTGTTGAACCTTGGGGTTTCGTCTCCCCGCAGGACTTGGCGGGGAATCGATGGCGTGCGAGCTCTGGATGCAGCGATACTGGCCCTGGTCCGCCCTCCCGTTTCACGGGAGCCTGAACCTCCGCCTAGCCGCTCATGGACTGAGGGCCGGTGATCGCTGGATCCCGTCGTATCGTCATACGACTGCATGCGGCGAATGGGAGAGAGGGGCGTCCGCTGGGTGCTTGCTGAGTACACCTGCTCTCGGGCCTCCCGTTCGTCTGCCAGACGACGCATGGTGTCAGCGAGTTCCCGCATGAGGCGGGGATCCTGCCTGGCCTCAAGGGGAATGAGGTCAGTGATGCCCCCGTTTCCCCCGGAGGTCCATATTGTTGCGGACAGTTCCGAGTTCTGGCCGCGATTCCGGCGGCTTGACTCCAGACGCTCGGAGAGATCACGCTGGTTGTTGCTTCCTGACATCGTGTTTGCTGTAGGTAGATTTAGTAGCTGTTTGGGAGAGTTTCTGGAAACTTTTTGCTCAGATTCCCACAGACGGCGCCAGTGTTGAGGTTTATTCCTTCAACCCGTGGACCCAACACGTAAGCCCAAAGGTTTCGAATGGAGTGGATGTATGGTTATCTAGCCCAACAACTACTAGATGAATCAGGAAACAAGAGTAATAGCAGGCAATGTAAATAGGTATTATTAACTTCGTAATAACTCCCCTAAGTACAATCTACTTGCTAACAAAGGCACGTCGGCCGTTCGTCTTACAAGGCAGTTAGAAATGCTGCGAGTAAGAGTGCTGAAGCTAGTATGCTAAGAATAGAAAGTTGCCAACCCTTTACAATGGAATAAATGCTTCTATTTATACCCGCCAATGGGCAGGTGGCTGTAGTGACGTGGCAGCCTGTGGGCCGCTGGTGTCCCAACTACCAAATCTTTAGCATTAAATGCACTTCCCGCCAGAATCTAGGTTTCCCGCCAGATCAGTGGGGACGTTCGTCCACCGGGAAGTGAGTTGGATTGCTCCAAAGGACCTATGAGGGATATCGGCTGTTCGTCTCCTGGCCTTGGTGGATACTCACCATGTGGACTGGGTTTTCTCCGATGACTACAGGCTTGCTCTGGGGACGTTCGTCGTCATTCCTGGTGGCCCGTGGTTCTGCTCCTTGTCCCTGCATAAACGTCCGTCGGGATGAGCTGCTGGGCCTGAGTCCTCCAACACTAGACGTTCGTCCATCCCCGTGGAATATGGGCCTGTGGGCTGGCCTAGTGTTCTAGCTGGACGTTCGTCTAGCGAAATGGGTTAGTGGGCCGGACCTCGGCTTGGGCCCTTAACCCAACACATTCCAACAGTTCAAAAAAGTATCATATCAATGCCATATGTCACAACTCAAATGGATTAACTCAAAAGGCAATACCAAGCTTGACATAGATTGAACCTGAGATGGCTTTTGTGCAAGAAACGGAGATGATTTCCAACTGAGACTAATACATGTCCCTTTCTCCCTTGCTTGTCTGATAGTTTTGAGTTTAGTTGGAAAGACTTTATTTTTCCTAATAAAAGTTACAGGATATCCAATTTCCTACAAGAATTCACTTGGAACAACTGCTTTGATGCAGTGAATAAAAATAGTCAAGTCACTTTATTTTAAAGGGTGATGAAATATTATCAAATGTTGAATTTTGATAGTGTTTAATGATTTCATAGTCTTCCAAACAACTCCTACATAAAACTACTGCCAACAAAAAAACACAATGCAAAGTGTACAAGGAAATTTAAGATGTATGCCTCATTAAAATTAAACATTCTCGATTTCAAATAAATTAGTGATGGGTAATAAATCACTGAAATAATAAAGAGATAATATAATATGACAACGCAAGACTCACAATTTTTGTGGCAGTATCTTCATATGAACTTTTATATTGACGCCCCTCAGTTCTTTTGCGTGTGACTTCATACATAGTTGATAATGGTATGTCAACATCATTTGGAAGGGTAGTTTGCTGTGATAAATAGAAAAATCATTTGTAACATTATACAATTAACAAACAATAAAAAGTTGTTACACAAAATATGTATGGTACCAATTTTGCACGAAGTTTGGCAAAAGACTTGCGACCCGTCGTGGGGTTATCTTTTCGGAGAGCGCGATTAGCCTTCTTACGGTTACATTGTTGCTACATTGAATGTTCGCAAAAATTTAGTCTTAGCAAATGTGAAAGAATAAAATTAAAAATAGAATTACATTTATATTTTATTTAATGTACCTGGTAATCTTTACAATTCCACAACTTTAAGAGCATTCGAAAATCTTTTTCAGGAATCTCTTTTGGCCGCTTACTCCATCTGCTCTTATTATCCTTGTACTGTGAGCAAAATTTTTCCTTGAACCGACACTTGTGAACTCTCCAGGCTGATCCAATTGTACTCAATACCCATTTTTTTCCATTCAGGTCAACGTCATATTTGGACTATATAAGCGGGTAAAAAGTTAGTTATATTAGCTTTAAATGTTATAATATTTAATTAATTAAAAAATTCTCGTAATTAATCTCAAATATGAACTTTCTTTTTATAATAATTCAATGTATGTAATTCATGTATAATATTAATTACAGGGACTATCTTCTCAAAGCGAGCAAAGGCCACTCACAAATTCATAAACATGTAAAAATCCAATTAAATGAAAAAAGCATCACCAAAAAAGTAAGAGACTAAGAGCTCTATAATACATACTAGTACATAGTCCCACATGCTGTTCTTGTCCGGCATACGTTTCCAAGTTCCAACTACCAATGGAGCAAACTCATAACAATGAGCGATTGTCCCCAAAAAGGATGAGAATTCATCTAGTGTAGCATCATCCGGTCCAATTGGCTGACCAAACTTATTTAATATGATGCATACACGATGTTCTCGCATATGCACTGCATGCATCATTGTAGGACCCCTAGTTTTTTTTGTTCTTTCCGAATCATCTAAATAATACATCAAAAACATATCATTATTACATTTAATGTAAACTGTCTCACTGATGAGAGATTATAACTTTATAAGTACTTGAAGTTGTTGAAGTCCTTTTATATAGAAAGGAACTGAAAGCACTTACGTGATCTTTTTTGTATCTCACCACCTGTCACCTCATGTTCAAGCTCCACTTGTTCACTCAGACCGTCATTTTGTTCATCTTCAATGTGTTCATCAATCATAGCATCGCTAATATTCTCTTCTATATCTTTGTCACCACCTGCTTAAAATAAGTAGTAAAGTCAAACCTCTGAAATTAGTAGCATTGCCATTAACAACAGTTATTGTCCTCAAGCAAGTATTAATAATTACATAATTCTTGAAACAAGGACATAATGTTTATTAACCATAATAAGAATAGTCCAATATATGATTGTTATATTTTAATTGATCATATTTTAATTAAATTTGCCACATTGTTACATGGAAAAAGAATCTCACCCACCTATTCTCTTTCCTTCTTCCCTCTGCTACAAAGTAGTGGGTGTGATCTTAAAAAGTCAATACGGCAAAATATATTAACTTGACATAGAGTGTAATGTCTGATACAGAGTGTCCTATTTTATTATATTATTAGTACATGTAAACCAAACCTTAAACCTAATATGAGCAGTATTGGGTATTTGGCAGGATGAACATTTAGTGATAGGGAATTTAGGTGATTCTCGGGCTGTTATATTATGAAAAAATCCGCTAATAAACTGGTCTCTTTCATATATTGAAAGGATATTATGAGAAATCCAGAAATGAGTAACTCATACCTTCCTCTCCACCGAAATCTTCATAGAAATCAAAAATCTCTTCATCTGTCCACGCATCAATACCAATATCCTCTTGCACTGTATTATTAGGTGAACTCATAATATCTATTTTTCAACAAATAATAATATTGTGCGGGCATAATACACTATGATCCAATCAAATAACCACAAAAACATAATTTCAACTTAATACCGTTATTTTCAAGATGGCGGTTATGATTTTCAAATTCAGAATGAACTTTTGACCCTGGCTCTTCACATTTTTTCCTTAAAAACTCAGCCATATTGATAACTGCATGACATGGTGGACTCTTTTTTTTTATTCTCTGTAGATTGTTTTGGAATAACATTGTTATGCGCAACTTTCTTCACAGGAACATCATTGTTAGGCACATCGTATGTTGTGACCTTTTTCTGAGATTGATTTTGGTCCATTGGTTTATATGCTGACATTCCTTGAGGTCTCTTGTCCCTTAGAACCCTGTGAAGTGATAATGGTGCAATGCACTTTTGCTTTTTCTACAAAATAACACAAAACCTTAGATACAGTAAACCATAGCCATAGTAAATTACTTTCAAAGTACAAAAGTAATAATCTGACATGTAAAACATACCTTCTTCACCATGCTTACCCTTTCTGTGACCTCTAAAGAATTGATTTCTTCATTAGGATCATAGTTAGGATCATTTCTAGGCTTGTCCTTTCTCTTTCTCGTACCTTTGCTGTCCACCAAACTTGATAGTGATTCAGAGATAAGCGGAATATTCAATTGGCGCATCCTTTCCTTGTTCAGCTCAATTTGTTCTTCCCGTTGCATCTCATAGTTTGTCAACGTTCTTTCACACTCAACCGATGTTCTCTTCTTTGCTATGTTTCTAGCAATACTTTTGTTGTTGACTTTGTCCATTACCTGAAACACACTTATACTTTATATTTTGGTTGCCACCTTATGTTACATTCTTTTATTAGTCCAAAAGAAATCCCTAACACTGCATAGAGGGTGATGTCATGCTCACAACTCATTGTTGTTCACAAAACATACAAATCATTGAAGAAATTTGCTTGCTTAAAGATAAAACAGCACTAAATCCATATCTTACCTGCAAAGAAATTGTAATATACTTCAAGGATGCTCAAAAATAGTACATGCAGCAAGGAAAATTAGAGTCTTACTCGATAAGCTTAACACCAAATAGTCTACCAGTCTAATGGTTGAAATCTAGCTAAAACCAATCAAGATAAAGCATCTTATATAAAAAGAAAGGCAAAAGTGAATTAGAGAAAAAAAATCAAGATATTGCTAAGATTAGAAAAAGGGCAAAGCAAAGTTAATAATCTTCTTCGTCACTAGCATGCATCCAATCCCATAGTGTGTCATCTTCTTCTTCTTCAGATTCATTTTCAACTGCAGTGCTTGATTGACCAACATTCACAGTCTCTGCTTCAGCATCCAGAATGATTGGAGCAAGGTCTTCTCTAGCCAGATAGATGTCATCCAAAACAACACAGGGAAAAGACTGAACTCGATGATCTATAGGCTCCTGCCAGTAGTTATTTTGTGTATCTTCATTAATTTGTGTCTCTACTTCAAAGAAATTTCTAGGAATTCTTTCCATGACATAGCATAGGTCACTGTTAATAGGATCTGACACATAAAAAACTTGATTCACTTGAGATGGAAGGACAAAAGGATCATCTAAAGAGCAAAATTTTGAGGAGTTAACACATGTGAGCCCGTAGTCATCTTTCTCAACTTGATACCATTCACATCTGAACAACACAATCTTGAACTTTGACCAATAATTTAATTCAATTATATCTAATACTGCACCATAGTAAACAACATCACCAATGATTGGATTATTGTCTTTAGAGCTGGCAAAACTATTGGTCATAGCTGTTAAAGTCACACCACTATTCTGAGTTTTGCATCTTTCATCACGACCTTTTGTATAAAAATGATAACCATTCACAAGATATCCAGAATATCTCTTTGCACTTGGACATGGGCCTTTAGCTAACCAGAAAATGTTGTCAGACACAGTTTGATATGATACTTTATCCTTTAACCAATATGTAAATTCATTACTGCGGTTGAGATCTGTTGCCCATCTGGTTCGTTTTTTGCTTCTCGAGACCTCATCTTGATGTTCACTATTCAAAAAGGTAGAAAAACTCAATAAGGAAAAAAGTAAAATAAAGTAAGGTGTCATATATTTACTCTCTTACCGGATCAGATCTTCTAATTCTTGGGAATCTGAATTGTGTAAAACATAACGATGTGCCAGTTTAGATGTTTTATCATCCAAGGTAAATGACTTTCCTTTTCTTCTTTTCATTCCACCAAGTGGAATGCCCGTGACATTGAAAATTGTCAAATCATCATTGGCATCCTGCTTAGGGTTATTTGGGGCAGTATGTAGCTTTCTGTTTGCACCCGTCTTTAAATAACGTGTGCAAAATGTCAAGCATTCTTCAATCAGGTACCCTTCTGCTATAGAACCTTCGGGGCGACTTCTATTACGAACATAAGTCTTCAATTTGCATAGATATCGCTCCATGAAATACATCCACCGATAATGCACAGGTCCACCAAACCTAATTTCTCTCACTAAATGAATTGGTAAATGTAGCATAATATCAAAAAAACATGGCAGAAATATTTCTTCAAGGTCACACAATACTTCAGTGATTTCTAGCTCTAACTGATCAAGCTCTGATGTTGATAACACTTTACTGCATACTTTTTGAAAAAATGAACCCAGCCTAATTAAAGGGATGGCAACATGTTTAGGCAAAGATCTCCTTATTGCTACTTGAAGCAAGAAATGCAGCATAATATGAGCATCATGGCTCTTATATCCCGAGACTTTCTTCTCTGAAACATGTACGCAATGTGCAATATGTGATCCACAACCATAAGGTAATTTTACCTGTTTTAGAGCTAGGCAAAATAACTCTTTCTCTTCGGAAGATAGTGAATAACCTGCCTTTTTCAGAATTACATTCTTTCCATCATCAGACAGAACAGGTTGCAAGTCTTTTTTAAGACCAAGTTCTACGAGGTCAAGTCGGGCTTTAGTGTGATCCTTGGTTTTTCCTGGAATATCTAATAATGTTCCAACTAAACTATCACAAATATTCTTCTCTATATGCATCACATCTAGATTATGTCTACATTCATTGAATTTCCAATATTGTAATTCAAAGAATATAGACCTTTTTTTCCAAGCGCAACTACTGTCTGTTTTCTTCTTTTGTGACTTGCCAAACACATTGTTAAATGTTGATAACTCCTCAAGAACATCAAATCCAGTTAATGGCTTAGGTGCAAGCCTTTTCTCAATTGATGTCCTTCTTTTTCGCTTTGGATGTTTAGAATCTAGAAACATACGATGACCCATGTATACCGTTTTCCTACTATGCTTGAGATACATAGAAGGAGTATCATAATTGCATTCGGGGCAAGCAAACTTACCTTTGGTTTTATAATCAGAGAGCATAGAGTAACCGAGGAAGTCACTAATTGTCCAAAGTAATGCAGCATGTAATCTAAATGTCTCGTCTCTAAATTTATCATATGTCTCAATACCTTCAGTCCACAAATCCTTCAAATCTTCTATCAATGGCTGCAAAAACACATCGATATCATTTCCAGGAGATTGTGGTCCTGGAATTAATAACGACAACATCAGATATTCTGATTTCATGGACAATGATGGGTGAATGTTATAATAATAATAATAATAATAATAATAATAATAATAATAATAATAATAATAATAATAATAATAATAATAATAATAATAATAATAATAATAATAATAATAATAATAATAATAATAATAATAATAATAATAATAATAATAATAATAATAATAATAATAATAATAATAATAATAGTAATAATAATAGTAATAGTAATAATAGTAATAGTAATAATAGTAATAATAAAAATAGTAATAATAAAAATAGTAATAATAAAAATAGTAATAATAAAAATAGTAATAATAAAAATAGTAATAATAAAAATAGTAATAATAAAAATAGTAATAATAAAAATAGTAATAATAAAAATAGTAATAATAAAAATAGTAGTAATAATAATAGTAGTAGTAATGGGTTAAATCCATGTACTATGCGCAATACTCATCGTTCGGAATGGGTTAAATCCATCACTTGCAAGCCCTAATCTCACATTCCTGCTTTCTTTTCTGAAACTAGGATGAAGTGAATCGAATTTCTTCCACGCTTCACCATCGGCCGGATGTCTTATCTTACCATCCCTTGGACGCTTTGTATCATGCCATATCATTTGTTCAGCAGTTTCAGAGCACATATACAACATTCTTAACCTTGGTTTTAAGGGAAAGTACCACAAAACCTTAGCTGGAACATTTCCTTTATGCTTATGCTTTTTGTTTTCCTTCAATTTCCACCTAGAGGTGTTACAATACCTACATGATTCTAAATTAGCATCTCCTTTCCAGTAGAGCATGCAATCTTTAGGACATGCATGTATTTTTTTGGTAATCAAGTCCAATGTCCTTGACCATATTCTTTGCTTCATTGAAGGATTCAGGAAAATTACCATGAGGAACTACTTCTTTAAAAAGACCTAGCAGTTCAGAAAAAGCGGTGTTGCTCACTCCGTTGATTGTCTTGAAAAGTAAGAGGCGAATTGTGAAAGAAAGAACAGTAAAGTTTTTACATTCTGGATATAGTTCTTTGTTTCCCTCCTCCAATAAAGTATAAAATCTTTTTGCATCTTCGTTCATCCCGCTTTGATTTTGACCGTCATGAATTCCTCGAAATCTGTCAGCTAAAAGATCATCAATATTGTCATATTGATCAATATTGTCATATTGATTTGTATCGTTTTTATAACCCCTGTGATCAGCTGACATAGGTCCCTCTCCATGAAAGTTCCACTTCAAATAATTCTCTACAAATCCCCTTGCTATCACATGATTCCACACTTCATCTCTACGATACCAGTAACGATTTTTACATTCTTTGCATGGGCAAAGAATTTGACCCCCACGATCGATTCCTTTAGCAAAGGCTTTATCAAGGAAACTACACAAACCATTCTTGAATTCGAGTGAAAGTCTATGAGTATACATCCAAGTCCTATCTCTCTCCATTACCTTAAAGTTCATTAAAAGGGGATAAATAAATAAATAAATAATTAAATAAATAAATAAATAAATAAATAAATAAATAAATAAATAAATAAATAAATAAATAAATAAATAAATAAAACATAGTAAAGTAAAAAATGAGCTTAATTAGAATAAATAATTAAAGGTGGTTCTCTGGCAGAGGAAGTAAAAAAAAAAACTAGCAAAAGTCGGGATTTTCTGAAAAAGGAAGTAAAATGTATTTTGTTTTTCCTTTTGATTTCACTATATAAAAAGACATCTTTCACAAGGTTGTTGAAATCCTCCTGTTAGACTTTAGCATAGAAAATGTTTTAAAAAAAGACTTCAGCATAAACAAAAGAACAATTACTAGGTCCTTTTCCTGACAATAATGGCAGAAATCACGCGAATCAGCTCTCTGTCAAACAAAGCTTACGGTGTACCATAAAGTAACAGGTTAACATGAATAAAGAAATAGCCTTGTTTTGAATAAGTTGTCCTAAACTGGACTGCTCTAAATAGCTAAGCAATGACCTTTAGGCACATTTTTGAATAAAAAACAACATAACAGTAAGAAGAAAAGTTCAAACATGCCTATCACATTTAATGTTAAAATATTAAACAATCAACAAGTACTAAATAGAAAAAAGAGGTTTTGTATCACCACCCTAATACCTAACTTGGACGATGTTAAAAACTAAATTATAATGCCCATTATTACCAATTAATCAAAATTGGTAAGATTTTGTGAAACTAGGATGGAGTATATCGAATTTCTTCCACACATCACCTTCCACAGTTTTCTATCAATGAGCGGGGAAACTATTCATACATTCTTTTAGGATATTCATTAAGATAGATTATATTACGTATATAAAAAAAATACAACCAAAGCTTCTGTAAGAGAGGAGGAGATCAAGTAAGTACGGGGGAGGTAGTGAATGACTTAAGCAGCAGGTTGGAGATGATTGATTTGTGGGACGATCTGAAAACGATAAGGGAGGAGATCAAGATTATGATACTCATAATCCAAAAGAACAACCTAAATAAAAACTAAATCTATTAGTTCAATTAGATAAAAACTAAATACAAATTCAAGGCATTCTTTTGAAGAAGACATTCACGATGTTCAAATATACTAAATCTCAAATTGAGAAAAATTAAAACCCTAATCAGAAATCAAACTAGAATAATCGATTACTCATTAATCTACTGGCATGATATCCGTACGAACATCCAACAAGAAGGTAAATAGCGTGCCTAAGCAGAAGATAAATTGTGTACCGTAGCAGAAGTGGTCGGCGATGGTTGAGCTGGTGGCGGTACGTTCTGGAGCAAGCGTGGCTCGGGAAGTTAGAAGCAGGCAAGCTTTTAATCGCGGTGGATTTAGAAAGCTCGAAGGAGGCGAGCTTCGCTATCGTGAATCACGATGGATTGATAAAGCCAGGAGGCAGGCTTTTGGAGCCGACTGGAAGAAAGGAATTTGGTCAAAGGATTGTGACCAAATTTGATTAAGGGTAAGATCTTACTCCTGGGCTAGAGAGTTATTGGCGCGAACATGTAAATTTTAACAGCGGGCAGGGAATATATTTTAAAAGAGTGGGATTAGCAAACAAATCAAAATTAAAATGTTAAAAAATTTTATTTTAGGAGTATATGTTGCATAAGACTTGATCAGAAACAACGTTCCTAACAAGTGTTACATAAAATCCGATCGTAATTTTTTTTATTTATCAATTGCAACACTTAAAATATAAGTGTTACATTATACTTAATAAAATGCAATACTTTACAATAAGTGTTGCATAAATTCATACGCCAAAGGTTTGAGCAACATTTATAATCAAGTGTTGCATAATAGTAGATCTAAATAGTATATGTAACATAATTAATATATGTTACAAACAAAGTGTTACAAAAAGTCAATTTTGTTGTAGTGGGTGCCCCCAATAGCTAAAGTTTTTGGATCCGCCCCGAGTATTGTAATTCCAATAACTTTATTAGAAAGGAAACTCTTCTATACAATAGACTAGCAAAGACGGGAAATAAAGAGTAAACATTACTAAAACAAAACACAGAACAAAAAAAATAAATCCAATAAAGTTTATCTCACAAGGGAGGAAGCAAAAATAAAAGTGATTTATAATTTTGACTTGAAATGTATATAAAAAGTGGGAAATTGGGCATGAGATGGCGGGGATCCATGATGAAAAGTTGGGGCGGGATTCCAAAGTGGGATTCCACGGGACAACAAAGTGAGATTGTTTTAAGAAAGTTGCCGAATGTTGAGATTATAGAAAAACAAAATAGAAAAACAGAAACATGTCATCACAAGCAGTGATGTATCTAGGAATTACTTTGGAAAAAAAATCTTCTCATTTCTCTTTTTGAAAAGTTATGTGTTGCTAACGTTCGTTTACATTTTTCTTACTCAACCATAATCATACATTTACAATTTATTTTCAAATAAAACCTTCATACGCCGCTATGGCCCTAAGAATCAAAACTGAAAAGATTAACATGGCTGAGGTATAAGATATCTATTTATTCCTAACCCTACCTACATTAACTACCCTTGTTGATAGCAGGAGCATATAAAAGGGGAGCCTCCCTTTTCAGCTAGCGCACACTACATAAGTCTTGAAGCAAGTCAGCGCTTTTCAGCTAAAGTGTGATTCCCGTGCCTTCCATTGGCTCTAACTCTTATTCAATTAGCTTCTTTCTTTATTTCCTCACTGAGCTCTCTCCGCCATGCTCCTGCTTTGAAAGAACTTGATTACTAGATCTCCCCCACCCTTTGACTCTTAGTGCTCTCTTCCCTTCGTCTGGTTCTTCCCTGACATAGGATATAGCCTTTCCCGCTCAATAATGCTAAACTTAGAAGCTGTTCTCTTCGTTTGATCTGAATGTTTCTGATCTGAATTTATTAAGTTCTGATCTGATCTGAATTTTTCTGATCTGATCTGATCTGAATCTTTCTGATCTGGTCTGATCTGAATCTTTATGATCTGATCTGAATATTTCTTTAATTATAATTATAATTATAATTATGATTATAATCATAATTATGATTATAATTAAAGTTATGAAAAATTATACCTACTACACTGATTATAATTGTAACTATAATTATAATTGTAATTATATTTTTAATTATAATTATTTCTATAATTATAATTTTAATTATAATTATAATTACTCTGTATAATAATAAAAATAATTAATAATAATAATATTAATAATAATAATAATAATAATAATCACCTCAATAATAATCATAATATTAATAATCATAATAATAATAATTGTTATTATTATTATTATTATAATAAAAGTGATAAATCATGTTTGAAATTTTCTGATCTGATCTGATCTGATCTGAATGCTTCTGATTTGATCTGAATCTTTCTGATCTGATCTGATCTGAATCTTTCTGATCTGGTCTGAATGATTCTGATCTGATCTGATCTGATTTTTTCTGTTCTGATCTGATCTGATCTGAATTTTTCTGATCTGATCTGAATAAAATAAGAATAAGCAATAAGTAATAAGAATAAGACGAACAAAACAGCACCTTAGCTAACCTGCAAGCACTCACATAAAACCTTCTTTTGGGAAGAGTTTTATGAGACGGAGAGTATATAATATTCCACGCATGTCGCAAGCAGTTGAACACTTTACGAAAAATATTACAAAAATCTTTATAAATAAAAACTAATCCATCAGTGAAAAAATATGAAATCAATTTTTGTGAGCCACTCAATAAGTAATGGTAGAAATGGGATAGCTCTCCCCTTTCTCGTTTCTTTGGTTTTCCGCACCTAAGTCAGTGAAGCATGGGTTCAAGGGCGATGAATGGAGTCATGAAGTTATGACGGTTTGCTGACACGAGTAAAGATATGTTACCGGAGTTTAGGTTAGGGGACCCTACACGGTTCATCGTACGGCTCCTATCCCTTCCTTTGGGCTTGGTTGATTTGATGTTCTGACAGGAAGAAGGAGAGGTCATTCAAATGTCTTAATCACCTAAACTGACACATAATAGTTGACTTGTCACATCACTAATGCTGAGAACACTTGTACAACATTTTACTCCGTAAATGATAGCTAATCTATTCGGATATGCAAAAGATACAATTATTTCAGTGACCCTCCCCTTCACGTTAATACGAGTTTTGGCATTCCAAAAATATCCCTTTGGAATGCATTCAAATAATTAAGGGAGTGTTTGTGATTGCTTCAACTTTAAAAAAGTG